ATGGAGCCCAAGAAAGTAAAATCTCTCACTGCCTCCATTTCTTCCCCTTCTATTTGCCAGGAGGTGATGGGACCAGTGGCCACGATCTTAGTTTTTTTGATGTTGAGCTTCAGACCATATTTTGCGCTCTCCTCTTTCACCCTCAATAAGAGGTTCTTTAATTCCTCCTCACTTTCTGCCACTTTCTGCTTGTAATTACCTATGGCTAATTTTATGCTGTGAACTGCCCTGGCATTGTCAGATGAAGTGTGGTATACAAATTTAATCAATAAAATAAATCAATGGAATGTGTGCATTTATTCTCAAAATACTGCTCTTCTCCTCCAAACTGAAAGCAAGGGGCTAGATTATATCTTGCAAATCTCTGCTTTCTTCTGCTCACCAGAGAGTTATTTGAGTGTCAGAGTATCTACGTAACTGGGGTTATGTATATTTGGACCAGGGCCATATCACGTAGTTAAACCAGAAGTTTGGGTGCTGAATGTATTTAGCAGAGGCTGTCTGTTTTCCTAGCTTTTGTATGCGCTGTTTTTGGTGTGGCTTTCAGATCAACATGCCACGCATGTTCCAGCCCCTGCATGGAAGAAACAAAATGTCTCTGTCACTTTGTGTTGTTTGACTTTGCAAATGTAATTAGGCAAGTACCTGATGTTGGTACATCGGGGCACATCATGGAGTTTTTAATAGCGCTAAGTTATGAGTCGCTGTAGCATGGAGCTGAGTTGTAATTGTCACACTTTACTTTTGGCAGTGTATTAACTCCCGCCAGATTTCTAACTCCCAGAATGTATGTGATTGCCAAGTTAGGCCATCTGTAAACACTAACACTTGGTGAACTCACCAAATACACAGTTTGACTATATATTTTTTCCAGGACACGAATAGAGATTATCTCTGGGGATGCAAAAGAGAGAGAGCATAATCCAGCCAGACTTAAATCTCATTGATTTTAACAACAAAAACTTAAAACACCTAATTAGCTCTTCCACCAAACTCATTGTTACTCTGAGACTGCAAGTCTGTGCATTTTCACTCAGAAGCAAGTTGCTGTGAATTGAATGGGTCTTATTCCTCATTGCAACCTTAGACTGCAATCCTGAGCACATTTATCTAGGAATAGAGATAGACCAAACTGTTAATTTGGGTTTCTCTCAGTCCCCGCCTCTATTAAATTCAGTTCTAGACATTTCCATATCTGATTGAGTTTTTTTAAAGCCCTCATGAACATTTAAGTGTGAATTTCTCCTAAAATACACTATTTTGCCTGATGCACTTTTTTTTTGGAAAACAATTTCGCCTACGATAATGCTTTTTAATGCCGTATTTTCATCAACCTATGCATTTTTATGCACACTTTGCCCTAGTATATGCATTGTGTGGCAAATTCCCGCCTCCCACCAGTAGAAATAAAGACACAAGACACAGTTATTTAGGTTAATGGGCTAAAATTGGCCACAACTTTATTGGTTACAGGTGATGAGCGGTATTGGCTTAGGCATTGGTCCAAATCGACTTATCCAGCTTCAGTCTGTCTGCCTGTAGGCCTGGAAGGGTTAACACCAGCAGGGGGATCCCCAACCAAATTCCCCAGCTGATCGGCAGCAAAGAGGACGCTCCTCTGCCGCGCTTGCCTTAAATGCGGCAAGGCACACCCCCTGAGCCAGCCGATTGGCTGGCCAGGGGGATGATGCGGCAGAGGATTCTCCTGATCATGTGGGGCTGGGAGCCAGCCTGCGTGCGAGTGTTGGGGGCATGAAGCCCGCAACACGACCTCCTTCCAAGATCGGAAGTGGCTTTTTGGCACACATTACTTGGCTAGAGAACTGCATTGTTTTGTAAAATGAGAATTGGGCAGGTTTACCTTCATGCCTACCTGGGCGTGGTCTCGGTTGTAGGTAGTGGATCTTCTTTTGGATAACTATGCTTATAAATCAATACTATGGATCAGTCTCAGAGGTTAACCTGTGAGGTGAATCTACATGAACCTTTTCTTCAAACCAGGCACTTTCTTTTGGAATATTTTGGAAGAATTGGTTAAAAACGTGTAGGAAATAAGCTGAATAAACAGGCATACTTTTTGTGGCACAATCCTGTACATGTCTACTCAAAAGTAAGTCCTATTGAGTTCAGTGGCACTGACTCCTGAGTAAATGGGCACAGGGTTGCAGTCACAATCTATTGTGTCTGTACGATGATGGCATCCTCAGCTATGCAATCCGTGTTCCAGTGTTACTGTTTCATTTACTGAGAAATGCCCAGTATTTTCAGTCTTGAAGAGACCACACACTGTGTGGGAGTGCCAGGAGTACTATATTTCTCTGTTGTAAAGATGATGATCAGCGGCTGATAATGTCCATCTTGAGACTGTAGCTGTTTGCAAGAATAATGTATGTCAAGCAAACCGTTCACATTAAATAGGCACACTTCTGGAGTTTCGAACAGCGAAGGATTATTACGTACCCAACACTTCCTATGTGTGCATTAACCACACTCGGTGTGGGGGCATGGAGTTCATAAACGATGTAAGACAGCATGTGCACCTGTGTGTGTTAAGCAAAAATCACAGAATTGATTGAACGTACCAAATTGAACGTGCAAGTACATTTCAGTGAAAAATGTATGCTGTCTGCAGAAACATGGGAGCAGTAGACAAACACAGTTTAGAATATATGTCAAATGAGAGATCATCTGTGTGATCAACACATCTAGACAACATATCAAATGAAAATAAAGATATACAAAAAAAGGCAGTAAAGGGTATGTGTGAGGGTAGCCTTCCTGTTGTTTGCTTCTGGGTAAAAGAGAGAGAGAGAGAGAGATGGGGCAGGGTGATAAAACAAATTGTGTCTATATGTGGAAGGGAAGAGAAGGAGAACATATATGTTGCTCTTTATTAATAGTGTTACCAAAAAAAAAAAGTCCAGTAGATTCTCATGCACTTACACAATTGCATTTTGCACAGCAACAAATCACAATGTCACATTTTCCCTGGCATAAAATATTGCACCTTGAATATTTCAGAAATGCAACAGACGTGCTGCTGCAATGAACAAATGGGTTATCATTTCAGTATCGTCAACTAACACTAGCTTTTCTTTATAACCAAAGAGTACAACTAGCAGATCCAAAGGCAGTTCGTCACCTGTTATGGTTTGGATTTATTCTTTTAGACCAAAACGGTCTTATCTCCAGGCAAGACCAGAATATGTGGAGTGAATCAGGATTACAGAAAGCACATCTTCAAGAGGTGTTCTTTGCACCATATGGTGAAGTCTCTTAGGTGTTTTGTAAAAACAAAAAAACAAAGCTTTCATGCACTGAACATGGTAATTCAAATGTTGGTGACGTCCCATCAAGGTAATTTAAAAACTTCAGTGAGAAGTCACCAGTTTGATTGGCACATTCGATGAAGAAACTTGCTCAGCTGCATTGCGGAAGAAGGACCATTTGCCCCATAAAGTCTTCTCTTACTTACCGAGTGATCCAAAGTCCCCTTAGACTAGGCGGGATGTGTGTCTGTGTGTGTGTTGAACAGAGGTTTCCTTCCACTCAACACGACTGGCAGATCTGCCTACCACTGGTTGCTGAGCAGCAGGCAGATCTCTTGAGATTTCTCGAAAGCCCTTAAGCACTGTGTTCCAGGAGTGGGGCAGACCTGACCAGGAATCTCGTAGATTTGCTGCCTCTGCAAAGTGGTTGGACCAAAAGCACAACCCAGGAGACAACTCCATGAAACAGATATGCTTTAGTCCAAAAGCCTACAGGAAACCCTTTAATGATGGAGCCAGTTCCCAAACGGAGTCAAGGAGAACCACAACCAATGAGAAATGAATGCCTATTTATTGGGGCTGGGTAGAGAGGGAATTGTGTGAAATAATGTTGTTTCTGGAAATGGCCTCGTTCGCTCTGTTGTGTTGTTCCTTGTGACTTGAGAGGTGTCTTCTCGTTTGTCTCTGGGCTCTCAAGCAACATTTTTAATTACAAAGAAGAGACGAATTGGTGAGACCCGTTATTGCTTGTTCTTGGCAAAGTGTACACAGCTTCAGTGAATTGCTATTGGGAGCAACAGGAGGGAGGGACGAAGGATTTCAACCTGGGAAGCACGGAAGGATTAAGTGTAGGAAACAGTGGGAATAAATGTTACGAGAAAAGGACTGACACAGGCTTGCATTTTCTTGGTCGGAAAACAAGTGCACAAGAGGAACGTGGCCTTCAAAGAACTATTTGATGGGGGAGGGTCAGGTTTTAATTTGGGGGGCTGTAATGACTGACATGGTACAGCATTATTCATGGCGTGTGACTGCTTGTGGTGGTGATTGGTGGAAAAGAAAACAGTCTGCCTACATACTACCTCTGCAGCAAATGGTTTTTGTTTATTTCAGGGACTGAAGTTGGGTTGTTCACCTAGTAAAGGGAGCTTTTTTTGGAGTTGATTAATGTGCCTTTCCACCAATTAGGCTGTGATCCAAAGGGGGTTCAGCCACCATATCCTAAGCTCTTCCAGGCTCTTGCCAGCAGGGGAGATTCCTGTGGGTTTTCCCACCTGCAAGAATTTCCCTTCCACTGGAAATGACAGAAGAAGCGCAAGAAAGGGCTTGGCAACACCTCCATTGTCCCACTGCTTTCCCCCAGGGAAACTGCAGTTTACTTCTGAATCAGACCAAAGAGCAAGCAGGTTTCCCACAGAATGCTTCTTGGTAAAGAATTGCCTGTCTCGCGATAAAAAAAATGACTTGACTTGTCTTGTCTTGTCTTGTCTTGTCATGTCATGATATGATATGATATGACATGACCTGCCCTGTTATGACATGACCCGACCTGACCTGTCATGACCTGACATTATTATGACATGTCATGTCCTGTCCCGATATGATCTCTCCCCAGAACCTGGCACCAGTCTCACTTGTCAGGCACATTTCCTAGTTCCCCTGCTCTGTTGGTGCTTCTGGGATGCAAAACAAAAACACAACAGAGAGCTGGTCAGTAGCACCTTAGAGACCAACTAAGTTTGTTCTTGGTATAAGCTTTTGTGTGCATGCACACTTCTTCAGCTAACTGGTATCTGAAGAAGTGTGCATGCACACGAAAGTTTATACCAAAAACAAGCAGTTGGTCTTTAAGGTGCTACTGGACATTTTATTATTTTTTTATATATAATCGACAACGTCCTAGAGTGGCAAAAACAGGAATGAGGGCAAAACTCTTTAAACCACTCTGACTTGTCCTGGGATGATTGTCTGGATGTAAAGAGCAGAATGGGGTCTCCTCTGCCCTCCCTCACAGCTGATAGGCTGGGCAGTCAGTTCCTGCAGTGGTGCTGAAGGGGGGAAAGGGGACATTCCTAGATCCAATCGGATGCTGGGATGAGCTCTTGTGCATTTGTGATGTCACAGGAAATTCAGGGCACTTGGAGGGCGTGCAAAAAAACAGTCTACACATGTGAACCTGTCTACGCAATAAACAGCACGATTCTAAACACACTTCCTAAAAAGTAATTTCATTAAGCTCAATGCACTGTATGGGACTTCCCTCTGTGTAAACATGGGCCAGCTTGCACTGCAGGTTACTTATAGAAACTTCATTAACAAGGGATGGATCCTTTCTTTTGTGTAGCAGCAGCTCAAGTGCCATTTGTGAACTACAGTAATACCTCTGCGAACGTCCGCCTTGTCTAGCGTCCATTCTGGGGAACGTCCACGGCAAACCTGGAAGTACTGGAACAGATTACTTCTGGGTTTGCCACTCGCACATGTGCAGAAGCGCAAACCACTCCACACACGTGTGCAGACACAGCACTTTGCCCTGCATCCTTTTTGGCTAGTGGCTGGGGCTCTGGAACAGATTCCGGCCGCAAAACGAGGTACGACTGTATTTGTCAGTACAATTTTTTAATCCTGGAAACTGAAAACATTTCGGCGGTTTCATTTGTGCCCCACAAAAACGGTTCTGTTCCCCTCAAGGGACAGTCATTAGGATGTTGTTGTGACCAGCCTGCAAGGCAGACGGAATGGTATTTATTTTGTTTATCGTGATCATTCATTCTTCCACATACAAATAAGGAGAGTGTAAAATCCAGAGCGCTTTTCCGCTGTGGCAAACAAGTTAGTTTTTAATGCCCCTCATTTCTCGCTGTAAGATTTCGATTCCCCACCCCACCAGATAACCAGGATAAAGTTAGAGCTACGAATTAGAACAGCTTCTCTTGGGGTTTAGTGACTTTACAACATGTAGCCTATCATAACCTACAGTTTCCTCCTTGCCTCAGTTAGTGAAAGACAGCTCTGGAGCAGAGAGGCATCAGGTATTCAAACATTTATGTAACACTGGAGATAAAATGTCACTAGCAATATAAACAGTTGACTTGCAGCCCACGCCATAAATCCTTAGGCACACAAGAAGGGAGTCAGCCGGCATCGGGATTCCTGACATCTTCTGGTAACTGTACTTTCTCCAGATAGCCGCTAAGCCGGGCAGGAGCTTATTTCATGCATTAAATTACTTGCGGCCGAGACAATTAGAAAATCCAAATAATTAGTAAGATATCACATGTCTGCCATGTTATTGTAAACCGGCAAAAGCTCTTCCAAAGTGCCATGTTCCCCGGATTTAAGGAAACGCTGCCCTCTTGTGCAGGAAAATGAAGCAACCACAATATTTCCCACCCTTTTCTTTGCCAAATAGCCCACTTCCTAACAGCAAGCACAACACAGGGACTCAGCCCTGAAAACCCATTCACAAGGGGAGCAGGGGAGGTGGAGGAAATCTCTTCCTTTTCCTTCTCTGTATCCCAGGGAGAAGGTTGTATGCACAGGCGTAATATTGCTGAACTTTGCAAGCAGTCTAGGAATTTCGTATCTTTTTTAGTGTGTCTCAACACTCAGATCCAAATTACATGGGGGAACTGGTCTCTTTCCTGCCTTTGTATTACTGGGTCCATAATAACCTGGTGATGTAATGCTGGGTATAAATGCAAATAGGGAAAAGGCTGTTGCTCAGTCGTAAAAATCCTCAGGTTCAATCCCTGGTGTTCGCAGGTAGGAGAAGTCTCCTGCCTAAAACTCTGGTGAGGTACTATTAATCAATGTAGACAACACTGAGCTATGCTGAGCTAGATAGACCAATGGCCTGATTCACTATAAGGTGGCCTTGTGTGTGCCACTAATGAAAAAAGGGGTTTGATTTTAGCAGTTAAGCAGAATGAATTCTGTCCACTCTCGTTACATGAGAAGTTGATGGCCTCAGAGTCATGCTTATGTTCCCAAACGTCGCGACTGTGTCACCGTTCTTGCTGTCTGTCTTTCTCTTAGAACCATCCTTCAGGCAGTAAAGCGCCAAGCAACGATTAAAGATTTGCTGCAGTCGCAAAGTCTGGCTGGACGGAGTGCCCCCAACAGTTCAACGCCTCCACTGAACTGTTTAACAAACACGGCGCATCGGTAAGTGGCAGAAATGAAATCCGGTCCCTCTTTTGTGCAGGGCGAGGATGCAAAGCAGATAACAACTCACAAACCTCCAGGATCGCTGTAGAGGCTGGAGTGAGCGGGGCTGTTGCTCTTTGTTTAGGCAGCCATAAAAATCCTTTACAGCTTCATCTCTGTGGGAAAATGGAACAGGGACAGAGGGTGATGAAACTTCTTTCCAAATTCATGTTTAGGCTGCAATCCTGTAGCCCATGAATAAGCTGCATTGAATTTAACAGGGCTTCCATCTGAGATCACGCTTTTTCATTTGTTGTTGTCGTTTAGTCGTGTCCGACTCTTCGTGACCCCATGGACCAGAGCAGACCAGGCACCCCTGTCTTCCACTGCATCCCGCAGTTTGGTCAAACTCATGCTGGTAGCTTCGAGAACACTGTCCAACCATCTCGTCCTCTGTCGTTCCCTTCTCCTTGTGCCCTCCATCTTTCCCAACATCAGGGTCTTTTCTTAACTGCAATACCATCGGATGTGGCCATATGACAGCCATTGATGCAGTTTAAACCAAGACACCCACTGCCCTGAAATAGTCCTCATTGCAGCAGGCCAGGATGTTGCTGTGCTGTTTAGAACATTGATGGGGAACCTGTGGACCTCCAAATGGTATTGGAATCCAGTTCCCGTCAGTCCCAGCCAGCGTGACCAACAGGCATGGATTTTGAGAGTATTAGTTCAACATCACTGGGAGGGCCACAAGCTCCATACCCCTGACTGAGAAACAGGGACAGTCCAAGACATTATGCTGCCTGAGGCAAAGGTGACAATCCCTCTCAATTCTATGTGTAGCGGCCAGTGGGCTGGTAGCTGAATCTTCCTTCAGCACTGGTGATGGGATAGCATCCTCCACCATACCAGAGGACCTCAGGAGATACCATATGGCAACAAAGAAGAATGGCTGGGTGCTCAAGAGGAATGGCCAGAGACTGTTCCCGTTTCCCCTGAGCATCTGCTGCCTGAAATGTTTGCCTGCCTCTGCCAAATGGTAGGGCCGGCCTTGTTTAGAAGAAAGTAAGCGGGGAGTTGGCGAATATTTATAACATTATGCAGTGTGTAGAGAAAGCACACAGAGAGACATAAGACTAAAATGAAGCTGGTTCAGGACAAATGGAAGTGCATCTTCATAAGAAAGCTATGTAATTCAGTACTTGAAGGGCCAGTTATGGTCGGCAATTCAGACGGCTTTACAAGGAGATTAGGCAAACAATGGAGGACAAGTTTATAATCGCTCTTAGTCATGTTGGCTTTGTACTAACCTCCAGGTTCAGAGGCACGAACCTACCAAATTTGCCCATTCTGAAACAATAGAAGAACTGAAACACAGCATTTCTTCAAAATGCCCACTCCTCTGAATTTTGCAATGCAGTTCTTCCATGAAGTAATGCATACAATAGTGCATATTCTTCTGTAAAGTGTCCATAAAACATGAATATACTTGTGAAAATAACATATACAATGTATTATTTTAGGGGAAATTGCCTTGGGGGGGATGTGCATTTGGGGCAAAATTGCATACAAACATCCCTATTAGGAGGGGGGGGGAATCACAAACTGATGTGGAAATGTAGAGAGCTGAATTTAAGATTGGAAAACAAAGAAACTGAGAGAAGCCAAAATTAACAGATTCACCCCACCCTAGAGAGGACCCTTATGCTCAGCTTTGGCCTCCCCAAGATCTGGTTGGCCATTGTGGGAAACAGGACGCTGAAGTAAATCATAATTTTGTCTGATCCATCAGAGCTCTTATTATGTTTCTAACTAGAATTTTGGGGGTCCGACACCCTGGGTGCAAATCAGGGAGGTGGCTAGTCAGATATTTGTTGGGATGGGAGTGAGTTACTTACAGCAGTGTCAGGAGCAAGCTAGCAATAAATCACACTGTGCATGTTGGAGTCCCATCCCCCTCCCCCCCCAAGCAATCAGAGACTGTGCCTGTGTGGCTGTCTTTGCTTCTCCCGCTTCATGCCTCTTCTGATACTGGGAGACCAGTGGGAAGGGAGCTTGCCACAGCAGGCAGGGGAGACACCTGTGACTTCACCATCCTGACTTAGCTCTGCTTCTTGGCCTCCCTCCTCCCACCCTCCTGCTTGAGCTTCTGCCTCTGATTCTGGAGTTCTCTCTGCCACAGACTGTCCAGCTCACTAGGTCCTGTTACCTCCTGAGCTTTGAAGACCTCCTCTTCCCTGTCTTCTCCCTCTTCCACTCATCGTTATGCCAACACCACTCCCTGGGCTCTGGGCCTTCTTCCCTTGGTGGTTCCCCTGCTGGTTCCTCCCACCATTCCTCTGCATCCAACCAGTACATGACAGGCATGTGTCACAACAGAAGAGGTTAAGAACACCATGCATAGTGTTGCAGTCTTTGTGGAGCAGTCATTTGGAATTGTTTATGGGGTGGTTGTATGTCAATAAGCATTCATTCTGCAGTTGATCTCACACGTTTCAACTTGGTTCCTCTTCACTTTCCAAAACCTACTATTTGTTTATTTTTTTACATGAGCATTTGTTGTGCTATGGAAACAGAGCACTTTAATTCCCTTTAATAGCATAAATGCAAAGTTCTGTCTTGCTAAATGCTGAGGTATGACCCTTGCCTCCTTCTTTTATGGGCTGGTATTGACTGGACCCAGAAGAAGAGGCAAGC